CCTTTTCAAATTTCACATTTGGCTTTCAACTTTGAAAATAATTCAATATGATTTTTGAACTGGCGCGCGAAAGAAAATTTAGCGGTGAACAATAATGACAATACAGTGTTTATGTCTCGGAATTATCGGTCTAATAGCTCCTTTCCCAAACGTCACGGTAGTAGCACAACGTTTGAAACCACTCAGTTCGGCAGGTTGAATTAAGTTTGGTACGACTTCTTAGCATAGCAAGCCTTGCCGTGCCGCAAGGCAGTAGCGCGACGACGTGCTTTTGTCGTGCCGAACTGAATTCATAGCCTGCTGCGTCAGCTGCCATTGCTTTGTAGCATTTAAAATGGTCTTCAGCAAAGTAAACTAGTTCCGATCTTCCGCACGACTGAATCAAATTCGAACGTTTGAAACAAGGGCTGTTTTTCCATGCCACTGCCGGGCCAAATTCATTTGAGTTCGGCACGGCAATGGCACGACTTGTGAACAAGGCCTAGAACTACGGAAGTGGGGAAATATTTCCAAGGAAAATCAAGGATAAAACAGCCGGTATAATGGGTGCACGATCCTAAGGAGGAGTCTCGTAAATTTACCAGAACAACTGAGAAAGCTCGAAATGGCAAGTTGGGCGTCCGTGACTGACAAGATACCGAAAAAACGCATGGTTTGTGAATCATTGCGGGTATTATTTTGGGGGTGGGGGGAGGGGAGGCACCTCTCTGGGCGAGTGAAAATTACACCGGGCGACTGCATTATGAGAGTCACTCGCCCGAATGGCCAGTGGTGTCAAAATTTAATTTCCAACACTGCACTTGGACTTAGTCCATCTGGTTCGGAAACTCTTTCCAAACCCAGCAAATCCATCAGTGGTTTGCATTCTCTCTCGATGACTTTGTTCCTTTGGAAAAAGGCATCCTGTCGCCACTTGTCAGCATTGCCTGTTGCATTTCTCACTGTAGAAAAGGGTTGTTTTAGTTCTTCTCTCAGCTTCTTTTTGCTGGGCGTTGTGCTCTCAACTATCCACTTTTCTGTTTCTCCTGGCATGTCAAATCCAGCAAAATTGTAAATATCCTTTGACGTGCCTAAAGGATCATCTGCGATCTGCTTGTACAAAACCATTTTATATTTGTGTTTGAGTTTCAATTCCGTTAATGTCCGATCTGCGTGTTGTAAATTACCTACTATTGTGTCACAGAGTTTCCTCGCAGTGCGAGCGAGATCAGGATTCGGGTAATCTTTCATCCATTTTATATTGATCCGAGAATTGATGCCCCCTCTAGGATCTCGAACTAGATGCAGGACACGTAGGTCGATATCCGGATTTTCCAGTAAAACCTGCGGAACAAGATTCGCCAGTTTCTCCTGAGGAAGCCGAACGGGCGACACCTTGACCACGCTATGCTTGAACTTGGAGTAGCAAACTTTATCTACAAATTCTGGATGTTTTCCAAGCACGGGACAATCCATTTCGGTTTTTAGATCCATTTTTGTGTTGCAAAACTTTGGCGATTTGAAAATATCAACTGGTAAAGCGCCTGTCCATGGGTAAGAGATGTACGACAGAAACTTTGTTGAAACAGAAGAGCGGGTGAAATTGCAAGCTACTATTGAACTTACCACCTGAAGTTCGCACTTTGAGCATTTATAATCAGGTTCATAATATTCCCATCTTTGTGTTATCCATAGTGGCTCGTAAACCATGAATATTTGCGGATCCTTAGCAAACATTGCGCTTATGAACGTCGTACCAGAGCGATCATGGCCGAAAATCAACAAGCTTCGCCGAGCGGGTCTTCGGGTTGGATCAGTGGATCTTCGGGTTGTATCGGCGGATGTTCGGGTTCTATCGACGGGTCTTCGGGTTGGATCAGTGGATGTTCGGGTTGTATCGGCGTATGTTCGGGTTTTATCGGCGGGTCTTCGGGTTGGATCGGTGGTTCTTCGGGTTGGAATGTCCGAGGCATTTTGATCATCATTTATGGGTGATTTGGAAATGATTATAGGCAGATTTTCCGCGATTAAGTTGTCCGCCAAAGTTGTTGATTTTACCAAATGTTGTAAACGAAATGTTTTGCTATGAAATGTGTAGAATACATAACCTAGAGCAATTACACAAGCGCCTGTGAGCCACAATAACACTTTAAAGAAGCTTTTCCTCCTCATTGTCCTACCAATGAGCTCTGTAAGATAAAAGTTAAGGAACAAAACGAAAGTTAACTACTCTAATAACACACATGAAAAAATTACTCGATTCTGATTGGCTAAGAGCAGTGCAGTCCAAGTGTAACACCAGTGCAAAAAGTGTAACATCAGTGCAAAAAGTGTAACACCAGTGCAAATTACACATCGATATTCTGGATTATGATTGACTGTAAGAAAATAGCAACTTTTCTAAGAAAATGATATCATGTAAAACGATGATGAACATTTTGTGCTGAAACTTTGAAAANCAATTTGGAGTTAATTTGCACTTGTGAGTTTTTCAAAAAGCTGAAATTGCACTCGCCGAAGCGGCTCGTGCAATTTCAGCTTTTTAAAAACTTCACTCGTGCAAATTAATTCCAAATTGAACTCGAAACCATATGATTACCTATACTTATAGTCTAATGCTAAAGCGCCAATTTATTAGTTACAACTGTCATAGTTAGAGTCAAGATGAGTTTAGAGACAACTTAAAGGCCTACATATGCTTTTCAAGACCGTGTGCGACTTAAGCCTCGCCCAACAATGTGTCCAGCCTCAATTCTAGGCTCTCTCATTCTTTTCCGCACGAGGGAGGCCTGGGTTTAACATAACATTTTCCAACAACATTGCTGAGCCGGAAATTGCATAATCAAACTGGCGAAAGTGGGTAGAAAAAGCCGATTACGAAGAATGACTGCAGAAATTTTGTACTTCTGTCTTTGAGGAGAGAAGTCGAAACCAAACCACTCTGGCACAAAGATTACTGTTTTGTGATAGACCAATTAGAAAGCACAGAAAAGGCTTCTAGCGCTAGCTGTGCTATGACATGAGCATGCGCAACCACGATACAGATATCTTACATTCAGCATGCACTGTTATTGTTGTAAGTGATGTTACATAACTAGAAATTAAGGGATTTTACGTCTATAACGTTGCAATAGTTCACTCTATAGTTTTTTTTTACAATAACTGTCTAATTTCTCGCGCGCTGATTGGCTCCTTTTTATCATCAATAAGAGAACAGATGGATAAAATTTTAGTTTATGCAAGCTTTCAAGTTTAACTTTCTCAGCTGTCAAACTGTCAACTTTTTAACCAATGACATTCTATGGACTTTTTTAAGTAGCCAATCAAAAACGAGAAAACCTATTGACAATGCTCGCGTCATTTTGAATAAAATCCACTTATCTTTGTTTACGGCAAGTTTACGGCGTCTTTTCCCCTTCATTTATTCCCGGCATTTGACCATTTTGGGGTCTTGTTATTGTAAAAAAACAAATTGACGTCAGTTTTTTATGCGTCTGTCCTCTTATTGGTGATAAATTTCGTTATAACATTGTCAAAGTTTACTGCKGAACCACTCGCCTGCAGCTCGTGGTTCCACAGCCACTTTGACAATGTTACGACGCAATTTGTCATCAACAAGAGGACAGACGCATAAAAAACTGACGTCAATTTGCTAAAGGGATGGCATGTCTGCTATCACTGCGGGCGCCTTGAGGCGAGAAAAAACAAAAATACAATGATTAATGATCAAATCTCCGATATAAATGTTTCTTCGTCTTTTTCGACTGCAGACACAAAAAAGGACAAGTCTTCACGGCTTTTCTTTTTATACATTTCTTATCAGTAAAATACTCGAAAATAAACCGGCTGGTTTTAAATTAAACCTTATTCAGTAGTCCCTGTCTACTTATATCTGCCATAAAAAGAATGCGAAATTTGTCTAATTTGTCCACTCTTTAGAAGGAAAATTTAAACAATTCTCGCCACAATTTTTTAAGCGCTTGCAATCCATCTGATTTCGAAATCATTGTCGCGAACTGTTCTCCGTAACAAAGCTGAAAAGACAAGTTTTCACTATCGCTCCAGCCTATAATAAAGACATTTTCTAAATCTCGGTTCACGATTTATTTCTCAACTTTTTACGTGCAATATCGGTTAATATTTCTAAAGTGTCTATCAGGCTTCACGCCCAAGCACCAATCGGCTCACCATTGATTTCACATTGTCCGCCTGGATGTGTAGACCGAATTTGTTTGCATGGTACGCTCGCTTACGACGAGGCAGTGAAAAAACAGGCTTCTTTAGATACTTACCAGCTAAAAGTGCAGTTGTTTTCTTTGAATCCTATCACAGCCGTGCTTCTAGAAGCTCAAAGCTTCTTGTCCAATACATTGAATTTTCTTAACCCGAACAGAGTCTAGCAATAAGCTTATCTTCGATGTCGTTTCTCGGACAAAGAAAAAGCGTGTGATTACATTTTTGTAGAAATTACAATTTGTTGTCGCAGACGCCGCGTGGGAGTAACCCTCGAAACATATTTCCTTAGTAAGCTTAAGTTGCTTAGCAATTTGCGTAATAACTCGGTTAATAAATGGTCTCAAGGCAGAGAAAATAATTAAAATGCTTTTAAGTGTAATGAAATAATGTGCAATATTTACTCGATTTTTCGTATCTAGGCAATAATATCACGTAAATCATGCTTAGGTTACTTAGGCGCAACAAGGGCGCCAGATGATGACTGGTTTTTTCTTCTTTTTTTTTTTTGTTCTCGAAGTTCTTTTACAGTTTAGTTTGCAGACCAACCGAAAAGTAATATTGTCACACTGCTCTGACGGAGACTGGATTTAACATCTCAGCTGTTTGTTGGCTAAAGCAGGGACAAGTGCCCGCCTCATGAAATTTTATTAAAAATGAAAACTTAAACTTCCAAAAGAAATCAAACACAGCTTTTAGATAAAGTAGTCTTTGGCGCTCCGACTCCCTCCAACATCCGAGGTTAAGGCGGATTTTCAAAACGGTGCGAAATTGAAATATTCAGAATTCATCTGCAAGTGAAGTTTTGTTCAGTATTAAATGTCAGTCTGAAAATATTATTCATAAACTGCGTAATCGACAAGAAGAAGTTTGATAATTTTTCAGTTAGTAAGCATTTTCACTAATTTCTTAAGGTACTTAAGAAATAGATGTTATTGTCATTTAAATACCTTGCCCGATCAATGATCACCTCATTATTTTTAATTTTGCGAGCAGAGCTGGACCTTTTTTTTTGCTGAAAAAGTGATAAATATACAACTTGAGGTTGAAAATCTACCGACGAAGACATTGAATAGCCGGGGAACTAGTGAAGATGGTTCAACTGAAACCCGGGGGTACTCCCAGAGAAACTGGTTGGGTTGTGTAGCCCGCTTTCCAAAACCCTCACCCCATTTGAGACCAAAATCTGCGATTTTCTCAACCCTAGTTTTTGACCTGACGAAAATTCGATGTCCTATTTATAATAAAAAATTAGTTCCCTAGTTCAGAGCAATGTTTAAGGCAATGTTTATATGCTTTTATTAGATAGAATAGCTTCTTCTAACACACATACCCAATTCAAGACTAGACTGCAGAAACCATACCCTATTTTAGACCAAAATGGCCAAACTTTCGATACCCTATTTCTGACCAAAACCGTAGAAAACCATACCCTCTGGGGCCGCATATACCTCCCACGAGAACTAAAACCAATGGTCTGAGAGAGACCATCATCAAATGGAACAGAAAGCGATCATAGAACAAAGATGTTGATGGTGAAGTTGAAGTGTTAGGAAAGAAGGTGATGTAGATTGAAGAGGTTGAATCAAGTAACATATTAGTGAAATTTTTCGAGTGGATTAATGAAATCTCCAGTTTCTTTTCCGGCTCTGTAACTTTGCAAACTAACCTACAATAGACTTCATAAGATTCAGAATAATTTAACCCAAGACATGGACCATAATTTAGTTTGTTTAACCTGCGATCTGGCCTCTTTATAAATAATTCAGTTTCCTTTATGCACAACGCAATGTATTTTTTTAATGAGCTGTTTTTAGACTGAACACTGCAATAAAGTGGATACAACACTACGGCCTTAAGATAACCCACCTGCCTATCTCTGACAAGACTAAAGGAAGGGTCTCGACTTTAGAAACTCAAAATTGTTGGAGAAATGGCGTAGCGCGAACGCAAAGAATTGTAAATCGTTATTTGAAGGGAATTTAGCTTGACTTCTACTAAAACAATAAGATTATTCGCTCTCGATTTTTATGAAGCGTCACCTCACAGTAATCTCGAGCTCATAATTTTACTGTTGGTCTAATTGAAATTTTAATCGTAGACAAAAAAATCACAAGGATGACGTAACCTAGATTAAATCAAGTTATTAACATTTTCGTAGCTGAAATGTTCCATTTTGTCTGCTGATGTTTTTGCTCCAAAAAAAGAATACTGCTTGTTGCGTTACTCAACGTGTGATACGGGTCTGATACGACTGGCCATGTGATATGCGTAGCGGCTTAGTATTGGTTTTCAAGAGTCAATTGATTTTTGTGACTTTTTTGTTTAAGTCAATAATTTTGTTAGAGAGTCATCTGCTTTTTAAATCCTATAGAAATCAACAAATACAAGTCTTTTTCCTTCGTTTCTATCCTGTTTTAGCCTGTTTTCCTCCTGTTTTAAGTGATTTTTGCCAAGAGTACACTACCCTCGCCACGTAATCGAATGAAGAAGTCTCGCCGTGGAAGGAGAGTAGTCACGAGATTTCCACTAACGTAATTGAATACAGTAATAAAGGAAAATCTCGCCGTAGAATACCAGGCGAGTTAGTCACGAGATTTTCTCAGGTTCTGATCTAGCGTGAACGCAGTGTTTATTTCAAGGGCTTCCACAGGCTAGACATCTAGTTGTCAACAACTATTTGCGTGATCGACAACTAAATGTTATTTTAAACAACTTAAAACGTAGTGTGTGAGATGAATCGTCGACAACTAAACGCTGAATTTTTAGTTGTCAACAACTAAGCAGTTTTCATTTTCGAAAAGGGAAACTGCTTTAGTTGTGGACAAATATTTTCGTCAACAACTACGTTTTGACCGTTGTTCCAGTGTGTGGCCATCCTTCGTTTAGTTGTCGACAACTATCGAAACATGACAGGCATTTGAGCATGCGTAGTTAACGTTAGTTCCCAAGCTCTTGCTGGCCCGACTAAGTTCTCGACTCTCGACAACTAACACTCCAATGTGTGGAATGCTCGCATCGTCGATCAAATAGTTGTCGACAACTAATTGCCAAGCCAGTGGAGGCCCTAAGGCGAATTAATCACGAGGTTTACATGATCGCGGACCGGTTTATTTTGCAGTGTTGTATTTCAAATTGAAAAAAAGCCATGTTGCATAGTTCAATACTTCCTTAATAGACGGGGGGGATGGAATTCTACTTCATTCATGGTCAGTGTTGTTTGGTTCTGTAAAGATAGGCAGTATTTCAAAGTATCCCACCCACCCCTCCCATCACGCGTTCATCCTCAGCCTCCCCTCACTCTCTTTTCAAGCCAACCATCTGTTATTGGTTTGTTTTTAATGGAGGACCCATATTGAGCCCGTAAGACGACCCATCCTGGGAAAAATGTGGCAACTCAGAGCATATGACATACGTCCAATGGCACGTCACGCGATCTTTCCGCCCAATTGTTTCGTGATCGCGTGACGAGTAGGAGGCAAAACATTAGATGGGTTTCAGGGGAATCTCGTGAAAATCCGGCCAATTGATCACGGACATCACGAGATTCATTTATTAAAATGTAATTTAAAGTTTCAATAAACGTTTGTCACGAGTTGTGTAACCTTTCATACCATATTGCTTGCCTTTCTATAAAATAAAGTCAGCTTTGAATAGCTTTTATTTCACAGTTAACGGCGGAATGTATGAGCTCCTGTTTGCATTAATTTAAGACGATTTCGAACAGCAATGCAAAGGTACAACTTGAATACCATCTGCTTCTTGTCACATTTACTTTGGATCTTCATCGGCTTCGATTCGACAACTACAGCTGTTGTGGTCAGAGTTTCAAAAAACACCGGGTATGACAACTCGTCTTGCTTGGTTCGTAACGCAACAACGCCATGTAAAACGATAACATTCGCTCTGGATACAATCAAGGAAAGTAATGACACAGACTTTATTTTCTCAATCGAGGATCAAGTTTATTACTTGGAGCAACGCGTCAAGATCATTCAAACAAGTCCTGACAGAAACATTATTTTGAAATCAAATCAGTCAAGTGGATCTACTATTCATTGCATGAATATCTTTGCAGGATTTGACATAGGATCAAGTTATGCCCCAAATAAAACAAGAAACATCAACTTTGTAAACCTTGAATTCAAAAACTGTGGCCCTAGTTCCGATGGTGCCGTGATCGTATGGAACTCTGTGGAAATCAAATTCACGAACTGCGTGTTTAAAGATAACAGACAGGCTGGCATATATGGCTTTGACAGCGGAGTTGTAATTGACAGCTGTCATTTCTTGAATAACACACCCAATCATCCAACCAATCCAACTTCCGGCGGGGGCGCGCGATTCTTTTTTCGTGACGCCGTCTCTCTATCTATAATAATCCGAAGTTCCAACTTTACATTAAATTCTGTCACAACGAATAATTCAAGAGATTTCGTAGCGTGTTCTTCAAGCCTAACCTCACGTAACTATACTTACGGCGGTGGTCTTCTGATAATGTTTCTACACAATGCCAGTGGCTGCCGAGTGGTGATACAAGACACCATTTTTTCAAACAATTCGGCAACATTTGGAGGAGGTGTTTGTTTTGTCGACTCAAACATGACGTCACGAAACAACTTATCCGTAACCAATTCAACATTTTTAAGGAACATGGCTGGACAAGAAGGAGGGGGATTAAGGTTCGCCCGGTGGGACAATGCTTCAAGTATCACCGCCATCTTCAAAAACTGCACAGTCAGCGAAAACCAGTCTAAGAGAGGCGCCGGGATGGATGTCTTCTTAATGAACAACAATGAAAAACCAACCGACTCTGTGTTACGCTTTGACACTGTTGTGTTTAGCAACAACTTTGGTGATGCCAGTACGGCTATTCGCCTCATGACGGCTCTACCATACGGCAGAACGATGGATGTGACCCCAGAGTTTATCAATTGCACCATAGCAGACCATAAGATGTCAAGTTTCGCGCGCACCAGCCCTTTCACAAGTCAACGGGTTAATGTGATGTTTAAAGGAAGAAATGTTTTTACGCGCAACAATGGAGGTGGTACTGGAGCCGCCACATTTCAGGATTGTGTTATGAACGTTCAAGGACAGTTGGTATTTACTAACAACTCAGGAACGAATGGGGGCGCAGTGCTTTTGGAATCAAGTCAGATTATTCTTTACCCTGACAGTGAGCTGATGTTCTTAGGAAATAAAGCGAGGGGTCTGGGTGGAGCCATTTGTGTGTTCGAACACATAACGAATGAGGTTATGCAATGGTTCAACCCAAACTGTTTTTTGGCATACAGCGATCGCTATGTGCCACCATCCGGATGGAAGGTAAGCGTTAGACTGTATTAGTTCCTTTCATAGCTAAGTCCTCAAAGCCGTTTTATCGTCTTATTTGAAGTGGCACGCTGCTACATTTCTCCATGCAGAGGACACGTGTTGAAATTATTTTAATTTTGCAACATTTAGTCGGTTTCTCTTGGGATACCGTAAAATATTCGGCCCATCGCTTAAATTTATAGTGTAGAAACGAGCCTTTAGGTGAGTTTGCATTACAAGAAAAATCAAGTTATTCAAGGAATATTTCGCGTTGCGCCACGAGAACATGACACATCTATTCATCCCACGCCTTTCTCGCACACGTAACAGGTGCTAATCGTACCAGACAAACAGCTTACGGAAAGTACAATACTTTCGACTGAATAAAAGCAAAAACATAAACAGTTAGCTGGCGTATCCAGTTCAACTTCTTCTTTCCAGCACTGGCTATAGTAAGTCTTCCAGAATTGCAGTTTCAAAACATTTTTTTTTTGCTCGTACGCCGACAAGTTCTTGCATTCCAAAGCTGCTCTTTTTTCTGTGCTGTTATTGGCAATTGCTCGGCGTTGACATGAAATTTTCCCCCTCTGTAGTATCAGATTTTTCCGAAGCTTTAAACAATAGAAAAATTAGATTTGGTTCGTTCGTAATTCATGTTTGAACATTTTCTCATAAAATGCTCTGGACTATTCTTTCGGCGGGGAAACTTGAGTACCGCGATGAACCCCGGGAATTTTTGACTCGTTGGATGACGCAGCGGCTTTGTAGCTTCCTGGTAGGCTGTATTTTACACGGCATGGGATAAATTTTAGAATTTTCTCAATCGTGCTCCCCATATAAAATTCATTTAGCGGCAATTTGTAATTCAGGTATTCTCCACTTTCACAAATCCCATAATACACCTCTTTTACCCCTCAAAATTTTTCATAATCATTGTTTGCAATTTCTCCTAGGACATGAAGATGTCCCAAGAGAGATTTAAAACAATGCCTATGGAAATTTTTTGGGGGTAAAAGAGGTGTATTATGGGATTTGTGCAAGTAGAGAATAGCTCTAAAACATTCCCTCTAACCATACATGACGATTCTAGTATTTTATTACCGCAAACATTTTTATTTCTCAGACCAACATTTCCTTCATCGAGAATAGCAGTAAGGTTAAAGGAGCCGCAATTTATGTGACATCTCTTCAGAGGTGTGTGTGGACAGAGGAGTTTCCTTATTATAATTACAGTAAAGCTCTTCGCTGGTCCAGGAAGTTTGTGTACAGGAACAACTTTTTGTTTACGGAAGCTAACAATGGATCAAAGTACGATATTGCTACGGACACCAAAAGTTTTCACTTATACTCTACGAAAGATAATTCTACTGTTAAGGTATGACCTTGGAGGTTTCCGTCAGCTCTCTTTATTAGTTCTGTCGTCTAACATTCCATTATCCAAATTATTTTCTTTCGCTTATTCAGTCATACATGCATTCACTTCCTCGTTCGTTCCAACCTCGTTTCCATGGCCTTTTCCTTCACCAAAGTGAGGGAAAAGGCCATGGGAACGAGGCTACGTTCTCCTCCCTTGTTTCGTCATCACTTCTTTTCTTAATTTTTGTTTGTTGATAACGATCCATTCGTTCGTTGCCTGCTTTGTTTCCTTTGCTTTTTGTGTTCGTTCGTTTATACGTTCGCTCGTTCTTTTGTTCTTTCACTCTACCAGTCTATTTATCTGCCTGTCTGCCTGACTGTCTGCCTGCCGGCCGGCCTTTCTACCTGTCTTTCTGTCTGTCTGTCTGTCTGTCTGTCCGTCTTTCTGTCTGTCTGTTCTGTCTCTCTGTCTGTATGTCTGTCTAACAAATCACTCATTTTTGATGGTGTTAGCGAAGCTTTGTCGGGATTAGTGCCTCTGACACTCAAAAAAAAGTCATTATAGTATAACGGCATGGCCCTTCAAGTTTTCTTCAGTTTTCTTTTTAAGTTATATCTCTAAGTTCTTCATTGTTGCCACAACCCTAGCATGCTAGGAACATCACCTAACAATGGCTTCTTTTGTGGTCTCTATTATAACTCTGTTACAGCTGACGCTCGCTCCTGGCCAAAACTTTCCTTTGAATCTTCACGCTGTTGATGAGCTGGGACACTCCAGTATCACACTTGCTTTCGTATCAGAAGCCTACAACGTAAACAGCACGTCGAAGCTCCAGCCACAAAATATGTTTCATCTTCTCTGGCCTAACAATTTCAGTACGATTCCATTTTCTTTCAACGTTCCTGAGAAATTGTACAACGGGATACACGGCAAGGACAAGCGGAAGATTCAAGTTATGGATATCTACTCTACACTGGAGAACGAGTTTTTCTTTGAACTAGAGCTACAGACGTGTCGTCCTGGATTTCAATACTCCCCGAAAAGCAAAGTCTGCGAATGCCATAAACAGGCTGGCATTTTGAGGTAAGGACCCGAGTTATTACCGAGACTTAGGGTATGTGTCAATTTGAGTTAAGTCTTGCCAGCCCACTTCCAAAAGCCTCTTCCCACCCCCACCCCCTGCAATCCACGTCTTCTCCTAACCGCACGCCCAATTTCGTAGAAATCCATGCAAGGCCGGCATAGTGAGTCTTTACTCGTAGCTGTCAAAACTCGTACAAAGCCTTGTTCGTCCAAGTTATTTTGTCGATATGTTCCATATGTAACAAAGGTTAAAAACTCGACATCTCACGTGATGTAAATTGCGCAATCTTACTGGTTAAACAACCGAGCAGGCTCGATTACTTGCCGCAGTTCGAGGAAGGAGCCGGCGCCTCTCCACGCGACCGGATAGAGCCTAAAAACCGGGCCATATTTGTCCACCTGGGCCGCACACATTTTCACTTCGACTTGGAAGAGTCAGTTTTTAACAACCTTATCATTTTGAGTAAAATAATAATCGATTCAGCTTGTTCGGTAGCTCCTTTTATTTCAAAATTCTTGGTATATTTTGATGGCCAGCTCTATAAGCTTTAATTTGATGTAGGGGTTTAGGTATCTACAGTTTAAACCAGACGGGCCACACCGCTTGGACGCGAGACATCTGTAAAGGTTTACGGTAATCTTAAGATCTGTTCTGAACACAACAGCTGTAACAAGGATGGAATGCTCTACCTGAAGGACGGGTACTGGGCTGGCATCACAAACGACGGTACCTTGGTTACAAACGTCTGTCCACAGAAGTATTGCAACTGTACACGTGCACCCGGAAACTCACAAGGGTGTTTATTTGACCCAGACAACAGAGATGGACAGTGTTCTAAAAACCGTGAGGGATGGCTATGTGGAAAATGCTCCGGGAATACCAGTGTTGGGTTGAGGTATCATTGTTAATCTCAAATGTATCTGTAATAACAAATAACTTTCGCTTAACTGACGGACACCTTGTTAAATAAAAAAGTGCACTTAAACAAGACCGTTAAACTAAAAGCCGATTTTAGCAGCAAGAAACTAAGCACTAGCTCCCGAGGGGAACTCCCATATGAGAAGGCCGGGGGGTGCTCGTCGTACCGTTTAGGGTTTAAGCCTCAAAAGGTCCACAGCTGGAGCTTTTGCAGTACCTTCTAGGGTATTGGGCCGAAAAAATATGAAAGAAGATGTGCTGAATGTGTTATGTTAGAATAGGCCCTTTGCAGCTAAACCATCACGTGACCTACTTTTAATAAAATTATGGGCTATAACTTAACGAATGCCAGAAATGGAAAAAGCATGTCGAAAGTATCAAAATGGCCAAGTTTCAGGCCCCCATCATCAGGGAATGAGATTTTATGATGGTCTGAATTTTTGAAAGAATAAGAAGATTTGTATGGGAAAATGTTGCTGGAG